CATACATACATACATACATACATACATACATACATACATACATACATACATGTAAGCCCATGAGTGGAAGCCAGAAGACAGCTTGCCCCATTGGTTCTCTCTTTTTACCATGTGGTTCCCGGTTATCAGTTGAGGTTATCAGGCTTGACAGCAAGCCCCTTTAACTGTAGAACCATCTTGTTGGCTGCCAATCAGCTTTGAATAGAAACACTTCTTTGCACAAATTATATCCACAGTGGGAATGTTTAGGCTCATTGTTCTCATGATTCCTTCAGCAATAGAGCAGCATCATTTACACTGCTGTAGGAGTTACAGTACATGCAGATGTCAGGAGAGCTGGAGGCGTGTGGCTCAAGAGTAGAGCCCTGTCTAGAATCCCCAGTGAGGGAATGGGGGTGGTGCCCCTGCTGAGCTTGAGCAAGGCCCTCAGTTCTGAATCCAAGGCAGCGAGTGCCCTCCTTAACCTTCCTCGCCTTGCAGGAGGAATACCAGGGTGAGGGCATCTCGTGGCACAACATTGACTACACCGACAACGTGGGATGTATCCACCTCATCAGCAAGAAGCCCACTGGCCTCTTCTACCTGCTGGACGAGGAGAGCAAGTGAGCATCCCTGCCCCATCCGTTCTGCCACATGCCAGTATGGAACAAGTCAGGTCCCCTGAGCTGCTCAGCTTCTCACACTCATCTTTCCAGTCCATGGGCATCGCTTCTGCCTAGGGCTTGTCCAGCATGCTCTGTAAACGACGGGCACACGGCTTACCTGTGCTAGCTGAGCACATCTTCAAGGGCTGCTCAGCACGCAGCTCACCATATCCTGAGCAAGACTAGGGCTGTGCAGAGCCACCAGTGTGTGTCCTGGGGGAAAGGGAGGAAGGCATCTCGGTCACCCAGCTGCCCTTGCAGAGATCAGGTGGCTTTGACTTTGTTGCTGTGGTTGTGATGACTAGTCTTTTCCCTCTCATGGTCCTGGACACTGTATACTCCAAATCAAGAGACTGTCAAAGCCTTAGTGTCCCACTCCATGACAGGTTCCTCTAGAAGCAACAGGAGAGACCAGAGGAGCTATCCCGGTGCTGGGGCAGGAGGCTCCTCACCATACAGAGGCCAAGAAGTAGAGAGGCAGGTGAAGCTCCTGCCTGCTGTGGCCAAAACCCTAGGTTCCATCCCTAGCGACACATAATGTACCTGTCCTTCTGGCACCTGGGAGATAGAGACAGGAGGATCAGAAATCCAAGGTCATTCTTGGGTACATCTTACATCAAGGCCAGCCTGGGCTACATAAGACCCTATCTCAAAAACAGAAGCCAAGAAAAGGTGTAGAGTCCCAGAATCCTCTTCAGCTTTTTATCCTTAGCATCCTGACTTCTCCCACAATGCCCAACTCCTGAGAGTCCTAGAACCCTGCTGCAGACCTGTCTGCACCTTAGGCCAAGTCTCCCCAGGGAAACAGACCTCAGACAGGAGAAAAGGAGCCAGCACTTGACTGGCAGCTGCACAAGCTCGGCTCTGTCTGAAGCACCTGAGAAAAACAGCTAGGAGCAGGTGTTTTTCTGTAGGAGCCTGTGGCTGCCTGCTACAGGCAGTGTGACAGGGCAGTCACATGTCAGGCTGTGGTACATTTATTAGGTGTGGTGTATTGTTCACCAGCAGGGGTAGCAGGCGTGCACTGTGCATGCAGAAGTTAAGAAACTTTGTTGTTGACTTGTTTCTCTCCCTCAGTCATGTGCTTCCTGAGACTCAGGTCATCAAGCTTAGTGCTGAGCCATCTCACTGGCTTTGACTTGAGTTTCCTGAAACAGCCATGTTAACATTTATCACTGCAACATTTTCTCTTTTCTTTTCTGGTTCGTGTATGTGTGTGCGTGCACGTGCGTGTGCACACTCCCAAGGCAGTGAGTGCCCCAACTCCCAGACCTTCTTCCCAACCTGAGTGGTTATGTCTCCTCTACCAGACAGACGTCCTCCCCCACCCAGCTGTCCAGCTGTGGAGCCCTGGGGCTGGGCATCTGCCACACATTTGGCACTGCCTGTGTTTCCAGTGAGGCTGGGACCAACAAGGTGTGCCAAAACCCACAAGGTGTGCCAAAACCCAGGGCAGTGTTTCCCTCCCTGGAGGCAAAATAGCCAGGTACAAGCAACCTCTTGCTCCATCTGCCTCCCTCCAGGGGCAGATCAGAGCCTGGCTTCGCCTGTTAGGCCGTGCTCATGCTCCCTGTGAGGAGCAGGTGCCTGATGCCACAGCTCCAGGGCACTCATCCAGGTACACGTGGATCCAAAACTAGAGGCTCTGGTGTGGGGTCTGAGATGCTGCATGGGAGATTGATAGAAGCCAGCAAATCTGGTCAACAGTAGAGGGGAGAGCACAGTCAGCCTATGGAGTCTACGAGGGGTCAGGAGGCCCAACAACTCTGTTAACCCTGTAGTCCCACATTTGTCGTATGGATGTGTCCAGTACATGGTGAGAAGCTGACAATGGGCCAGCTCGATGGCTCAGTCAGTTTAACAATGACTGCCAGCAGGCCTGAAGGTCTGAGTTCAATCCCCCAAGGTCCACAAGGTGGATGGAGAAACCCAACTCTTACAGACTGACCTCCACACATGCCAAAAGTGTGAGAGTGTGTGTGTGTGTGTGTGTGTGTGTGTGTGTGTGTGTGTGTGTGTGTTTGCGTGTGAGCCCATGCCTGTCATTAGCCTCTCCTCAGCAGCCCAGGTCCCTTTTCACTTCACTTTGCACTCAGTGTGGGCTCTTAGCTGAGTGTGTCCATGTGTCCACTCCTATCCACAGCTTCCCACATGCCACAAGCCACACTCTGCTGGCCAAGTTCAAGCAGCAGCATGAGGACAATAAGTACTTCCTGGGCACACCAGTCCTGGAGCCCGCCTTCATCATCCAGCACTTCGCAGGCAGAGTGAAATACCAGATCAAGGTAGGCTCAGCCTGATACCCACACTGTTCTCTGACCCTTTGCTGTTACTCAGTTGGGACAGCACATTCTTGGGTGCTTGGAATCATCCCAGACTCCAGTGCCAGTTGAGCCAGGATTGCAGAGTGTTACTGGGACCCATCTGGATATAAACCTTTCAGCCCTTTACTTTTGGGGCATCCATGGGCTCAGAGGGGGTGACCAACCACTCCCACCTCACCAGGACTTCCGGGAGAAGAACATGGACTACATGCGGCCTGACATCGTGGCACTGCTAAGGGGCAGTGACAGCTCCTATGTGCGCCAGCTCATCGGCATGGACCCGGTAGCTGTGTTCCGCTGGGCTGTACTTCGTGCAGCCATCAGGGCCATGGCTGTGCTGCGGGAGGCTGGGCGCCTGCGTGCAGAGAGAGCGGAGAAGGCAGCAGGTAGGGGCGGAGGGCTGCCCTCCCTGTTGCCAACCCTGGGAATAAGCAACATGGTTGACAGGCAGCTATAGCTCATTCTAAAGCTACTTGGGAAACAGTCAGCAGAGTCATGACTTGGGGCCAGATTGAAGTTAGTGAGGATCTGTTTCCAGGACTGAAGAGGGCTGAGGTACAGCTCAGCCAGTAGTGCCCCTGCCCAGAATTCCCCATTGGAGAGCTGCCTAGGATTCCCCCAGTGGAGGCTTGGAGGCAAGACATGGGGTAGAGCCCCTGCCCAGGATCCCTCCTTGAGGGTGAGGCTGGGACTTGATTGGGGTAGAGTGCATGCATAGCATGTAAAAGATCTTGTGTTCAGTTCCAGTTTTCTCAAAAGGAGAAAAGAACTGACTGCTTATTCCACAGAAGTAACAGCTTAGTGCTGTGCTTGAGACCTCGCCAAACAGTGTATGCTCACTTTGTACCCAGCAGGTATAAGTAGCCCTGTCACTCGAAGTCACATGGAAGAGCTACCAAGAGGAGCCAATACCCCTTCAGAAAAACTGTACCGGTGAGCGAGACTTCAGTTTGTTCTACCCCAACCCTGTGAGGTGTCATTGTTTACACTGTTGTGGAGCCTTACACTGCCAGCCAGGGTCCTTACGGCCCTGAGTAAGCCCTCGGGTGGCTGAATGGACTCAAAAGGCCCTGAACAGAAAAGCCCTTGCTTGGACCTTTCTGTACCCCAAAAGGTGGGTCCTGGGATGACATCTGCACTGGGGAGGAGGAGTCAGCACAGACAATGTCTTCAGTCCCCGGGCTTGAGGGGGTAAGGGGCCTTTGCAACTGCAGAATAACACTGAGGAAGAGATGGTCTCCCAGCCTGAGGGAGGTGTCACTGTAAGCTGGACTCTGGAGTCCTGCGTTCTGTCTCAAGGACTGAGAAGAACAGGGATACTTCTTCCCTTACCATTCTCTTGACAGCTGAGTACCTTCCGCTAAGTTTTTCCTTCAGTCATTGCAGAGGCACTTAGTGAGCCTGGGCAGTGACCCAGGCCCTCCACGTGGCTCCCGGAAGGTATAAAAGTGTACATGAGCTGAGTTGGGAGTGCTGGCCTGTGCTTGCAGCTGATTGGGGGACCGGGGCAGAATTGAAAGAACAAGGCTGACCTGGGCTGCAGAAGGAGACCCTGCAGACAGTAAAAGGTGTGCGTCTGTGTTGTGGCACTGGCCTTGCACAAATGAGCCTCTGGGTTCACTGTCCTGCACGTCACTTGGCATGTGGCAGGTCAGCCATGTCCCAGCAGCCTTGGAGCAAGGAGAAAGCAACCCTTGGATACGGAAATGGTCACGGCAGGCATGGCTGTACACACCTGTCTTCCTGGCTGTACAATAATAGCCTAAAGCAACAGGATTGTGACTGAATCTATCTGGGCTGCTGAGCAGGGCCCTGAACCAAGTCAGGTGTTAGGATCCTGCAGGGACCATGTAAAGGAGAGGCCTCAACCCACACAGTGTCTCCATGTAAGTGGCCCATACCTGGCTAGCCTGTGTCAGTGCCGTGTGTCTGCTGGCTTCACTGAGCTTCTCCCTTGCAGCTGCACAGGGCTAGACTTCTCCTTTGAGCGCTCTGAGGAGCTGGATGTTAACGCTTTTGAGGACATCATGGCTTTCTATGAGAGCAGGAAGTAAGTAGCAGCCTTCGCACCAAGACCAGGGAGGCACAGGCCAGGGCCACCATCTGGGAGCTCAGAGCAGCATCCTTCCTGGGGACACACTGCCACTTTTGGCCAGGTCAGGGCATATGTGGAGCTGGTAGGAGCCCCTGCTCTGAGCTCTCTACACAGGAAGGCTGCGCAGGAAGTAAAGGGACCCATTAACACTGTGTCACTCGTGTCATTTTTTGCTCTTGTGCCTCCCTGGAGGGTGAGGGAGCGGAGGTAAGTATGGCATCCATCCGGGCATGAGGCACGGTGCATGTATCACAGAACGGGGGTGCACACAGGGCAACCTTCAGGCCAACTGTCAGAGCCTAAACATGCTTTTAAAATGACGGGAGTGAGGCTGGCAAGATGGCCCAGTGGGTAAAGGTGCTTGCCACAAGGCCTGCCCACCTCATTTGAATCCATGAATCCACATGGTGGAGAGAACCTCTTCCAGCAACCTCTGACCTCCACACACACACCCTCAAACACGCATACCTGCATCTACACACATGCATATGCACACAAATACTCGCTCTCACTTGCACACACAGATACAAACACACGAGCACTCTCAGACACATGCGCACAAACATAGAAGTAAGTAGTGAATAGCAAGTGAGAATCAGAGCGAAGCTCAGTAGCGGAGCAGCTGCCCAGGGTGTGTGCGGCCTGGGACACCGTGCTGGCAGATGTGTGGGCTGCAGAAGCGGCTCAGTGTTGTTGCAGAGGACCCACCTGCCAGTGTTCTCATGGCCAGCTCACAATTACCTGTAGTTTCAGAGCCACATATTCTGACCCTCTCTTTCAGCCTCCATGGTCACCACACATGTGTTTACAACTCCATAAGTATCTCCACATTTATGCCCTAGAAAGAACAGTCAAATGTCCCCATGTCTGGACAGATTGGTCCCTTGGGGCTAGAAAGAGGCAGTGTGGCCACCAGCTGGGAAGTACCAGACAATGAGGGGTCTCTGTGGGCAGCAGGGAGATCAACTCTGGGCCATACTCTACAGACTCATCCAATTTCATACAAATCACAAAAGCTCATACATACAAGATTCCAGCTGGCCGAGCAGCTCAGGAGAGAGGTACTTGCTGCACACCTGATGCTCTTGCATTTGCTCTCCAAGTCACCACAGGACAGAAGAAAAACTGGTTATGTGGAGCTGTCCTCTGTCCTCCACAGGCTGTGGCATATCCCCTGAGATACAAAGAAAAGCATTTTAAAAAATAGAAGACTGTGGCACTTAAATGATGGCCCACAGTATGGCGCATTTGCTGTTGTACTAGAGTCTGGATCCCAACACCCACATGGGCTAGTCACAAATGCTAGTCACTCCAGGTCTGAGGCACACAGCACCTGCTCTGGCCTCTAGCATACCTGAGCCCCTGTCCACATGTACACACCCACGTGTATGATCGTATGCACACTCATATACACACATGTGCACACACACATAAATAAAATTCTTCTAAAAAAAATCTGGGAAAGCAAATGTTAATTCTGTGAGTTCAAGGCCAGCCTGTTCAGCATATCAAGATCCAGGCCAGCCAGGGTCCTGTCATAAGCCTATGGTCCCCTGAGCTTAGGAACAGTAGCTGTTCCTGGCCTAGTCCTCACCCTGAGGAAGGACATGATGGTCACCCACCCTCACACCCCGTCCTCAAATGCATGTTTTGTCTCCTGTGGCCTAGGGACACCCTGATGGGCACTGGAACTCCAGGTGGTGGGATGCATTCTAACTGTTATTCTCTCTGTCACTGGGTCCCCTTCTGGCCCCCAGCGATTTGCATAACCAAATCATCAAGAGCCTCAAAGGACTGCCATGGCAGGGCGAGGACCCGCGGAGGCTTCTCCAGTCCCTCAGTCGGCTCCAGAAGCCCCGCACCTTCTTCCTGTGAGTCCCCCAGCTCCTCTGAGTGCAGCAGCCACCACTGGCTGCTCCTCCACATGATTGGCCACTAACATTCCCTCATCCCACCCCTAGCACTGCCTCACAGTCCAGCCTTCAGCCAGCCGCTGCTGACCAGCCCTAATGTCCCTGACAGCTCCCTGAGCTGAGCAGTACTCCTCTGTGAGGAGATTCCTGCTTTGCTGCTGACCAAGTCCTATCCACCCTGGCCAGCTTGCAGAGCACAAGCCTCAGCCTTTGCCTGCTGTGACCTTGTTGTGAAGCCCATGGAAGCAAGGAACATGTAAAGTTGGGGACCAGTCATAGGCATGGGCCCTACTCCACCCCTGTCATATTTCACTGAATTCCCTTGGGGTTCAGCATTTCTCTGAAAAAGGGGGTGATAAGTCTCAAGACCCTATGTTCTGACCTAGCACCACTGAGGTGATGAGTCAGGGCACCCACAGTCCCCAGCCACAGTCTGGTGGAGAATAGCACTTGTGCCCAGAGGAGCCTGACTTTTTAGTCCTTCCCCTTAACTCCACCCTGGAGCCAGGGTCTCGCCATGTTGTCCAAGCTGGCCTCCAGCCCTTGACTCAAGGATCCACCTGCAGGTGGAGAGCTCTCAGCACTTGAGAACGCTTGCTACTCTGTTGCTATCACCAGTGTTGAGTGACTTTCCTCCTCCAGCCTCCATAGGCACTGCACTCATGTGTGTGCACACATTTATACATACTTAAAACAGAAATCTTCAGAGAATCCTCCTGCCTCAGCTCTGGGAGCAGCTGGGGCTGCAGGCACTTGCCACCGTATCCTAATGTGATTTTTGCATGTTTCTCTGTTGCTTTCTTTTAACCCACATTGAGATGCAGTTGAGGGCTGGGGTGTGGCTCGGAGACAGCAGAGGTTTAGCATTCACAGCCCTAAGGCCTGAAAACACACAACAGCTCCTGGCCACATGCATGGTGAGCAGGGTTCTTGTGTGCTCTAGCTTTCCATGTCATTCCCAGATACAGTGGCACTTGCCCAAGCACACCCAGCCTAAACAAGGCGAAGGCAAGAGGATTGGGTTGGGATGGGGATGAGGTATTACATGCCTGTCATTCTGACACTGGGATGCTGGAGGCGGGAGGATCAGGAGTTCGTATTTCTCAGCTACATAGCACATACAGGCCAGCCTGGGCTACATGAGACCCTGTGTCTTAAAAGAATTCCACTGTGAGACCACCAGAACCCTGGACCATGGAGCTGGCTTCAGTTTTCCTTTCCAGCATCAGAAACTCTGGAGCTGGGTGTGGCTCTGAAACAGGCCGTCTTCTCAGTATATGGAAGGCCTTGGGTTCCATCCCCAGCATGGCATACTAATAATAAATTCCCTGAAGACAATTTAGTGAGGAGCCACCAGGCCTTGTTCTTTGTAGGTCTCTGCTCCACCAGTGGAGAGCTGACCTAGCACAGTAGGGTCAGTCGCTCAGTGCATCAGGGCACCTTAGGGCCTCGGTGCTGTGTGCTTGGCTGCTGGTTCACTTTCTCACTGCTACAGATACCTGGAGCCTCCAGCACATTCTGCACCCTCAGAGGGAGCAGAGCCCTCAGTGCGGAAGGCAGGAGCTCGCGGGAGTCTAGGGAGTCGGTGGCGGCCTTGCTGCATTTGTCCTCTCTCTCTGTCTCTCTGGATCTAACCTGCAAGGCGTGGCTTGCTGAACTAACAAGACCCCCAGCTCTGTTACCCTCACATTCACACCATTTTTAATATTTTGACAGGAAGAGTAAAGGTATCAAACAAAAGCAGATCATTCCCAAGGTAAACCCGCACCCGCAGATGGCACCGCCACATACGGCTCGAGAGCACCTTTCTCAAGTCACCCTGAGACAGGGAGGAGGGAGAGAAACACTGAGCTTCTGGGACCTCTTTCCTTCTCCTGCTAACTCTCTAGTACAAAGCTAGTGGCTCAAGTTAGGGAGCCCCTGCCTAGACTCCCTCAGTGAGGAGCTGGGGGCGTGGCTGAGGAGCTCCTACCTTATATCTCCCAGTGAGGGGTTGGAGGTTGTGGCTCAGGGATAGATCCTCTAAGAGTTCCCCAGTGAGGGGGTGGAATGCAACCCCTGCTTAGCTTTTATCAGCCCCTGGGTTCCCAGCACTAAAATCAGATTCCTTACTGTGACTTTGTAGTGTTTGGGGTTTCATCAGAGTTGGACCTCTATGGGCTCCTTTATTAGGCAGGAGCAGCTGAGGCACTCTCAGGAAGCTGTGAGTGAGTGGGGGGAGGAGCCAGGCTCCACTCATCTCAAGTCTGCCCTTCTAGTGTTTCAGCTGGACCCCTGAAGGGTCCTCCCCCACCCCAGAGCTGGTGCTTCCCACAAGCCACCCAGCATGAACCAGGTGCTGCCTGTGAGGCGCCTGTAGGACCAGGCAAGCGGCAGTGCCCTACAGACTCTCAGTCTGGTTTAGACACTATCTGCCCTCAGTGTTCACAGTGGGAAGTTCCCAGGACCTTTGGGTAATGTGGGTGTGCAGGCACCTCTGTCTATGGAGCCTAGGCACAACCTGCCACAGGCTGGACCTTCTCTGGGGGACTTAGAGGCCCTTACAGAGTGACTTCACTATGCATGCCACCATGCTGTGTTGAATAAGGACGAGACATGAGAGTCTGTGACAGGGTATAGGGCACACACTTGTCCCACCCTGGAGACAAGGCTACTGTGGGCTATGGTCATCAAGAGCAAACAGGTGCAGTATGGAGTTTTTGTTTTGTTTTGTTTTAAATATGGTCAGTAGCTCTTGTCCAAAATTCTGTAGAGCAGAAGCCGCTGATATCTTGACTTTAAGCACTCGGAGACATTTACATATATACAGTGAGGTGTGGAGATGGGTGTGGTCTATGTACGGAATGTGTTCTCCTTTCACCTTAGACTCATAGCCGTAGACTCTTGCAAGTATATATGTGCATGCCCAAAAGACTTGTCATACAGGAGCTGAGGAGATGTCTCAGAGGGTAGAGGTGCTGGCTGCCGAGCCTGACCACTGAAGTTCAGTCCCCGGGAACCACATGCTGGATGGAGGGAACCAACTCCTGCAAGTGGGTCTCTGACCTCCGCACATGCACATATACAATACAGTTTTTAAAAAATAAAGTTTTATTTTTAAAGTATAAGGTTATGCATAGTGATGCATGTCTGTCACTCCTCTAGGAAGATATGAGGCAAGGGACTTGTTAATTGCAGGCAAGGCTACAGAGCAAAACTGTCCCATAAATGAAAAGTTGAATGCAAGAGTTGCGACCACCATATGCCTGTCCTCTCAGCATTTGGGAGCTGGGGATGAGGAGCTTGGGCCATCCTGGGCTATATGGTCCTCTCAGCATTTGGGAGATGGGGATGAGGAGCTTGGGCCATCCTGGGCTATATGGTCCTCTCAGCATTTGGGAGATGGGGATGAGGAGCTTGGGCCATCCTGGGCTACATGAGACTCTTTCAGGGAAAAAATCACCAGTCACTTGAAACCCTGTTGCTTTCAGTTTTGGGGTTCAAAGGCATGGAATCCATATACCCTGGGAGCTGGTGGCTTATGGTATAACAGGCCCCTATCCTGACCATGGGAGATGTGGTGGGTCCTGTCACCAGCTCAAGCTGGCATGTGAGGTCTGAGGGACTTGAACCCTGGCCCCCTGTCCTGAGGATGAGGATGTGTGGAGGAGCAGGAATGGCAGGCAGTGGCCTGTATCCAGGCCATGCTCTCCCCAGAAGCCAGCGGCCCCTGTAGGTTATGGGGAGCAGGCCCAACCCTGTGTGTCTGTCCTAGAACCTGCTGGACTCTCGGTCCCTGAGGTTCATCATCAGCATGACACTGCACGACCGGACGACCAAGTCGCTGCTGCATCTGCACAAGAAGAAGAAGCCCCCCAGCATCAGTGCGCAGTTCCAGGTGGGTACTGTAGCTCAGCAGGGCCCCTCCAAGTCGGTGCTATTCCAGGCCACAGTCCCAAAATGTGCTTATAGGTGTGTGACATCATTTATGTGCCCTAGGTACAACACCACCCCTGTTTGAAAACCACCAAGATAAAAAGGGCGTCACTAGTTAGCAAGTCAGTCGCCAGGGCTTTGAGCATGTTCTGAGGTCATGACTCTTTTTTTCCCTGGCTTCCAGGAAACTCAGAGACATTTTTGTTGTTGTCATTGTCTGTTGAAACAGGGCCTTGTGTCCTCCAAGTCGGCCTCAGATAGTCAATAATGCTCTTACCTTACCTCCCAAGTGTGAACTAAATCTTTGTTCTTATGATGCTGGGGATGGAGCCCAGGCTCTCCAGTGCTCTGTGGAGGCTGAGGATGTAACTTGGGTAATGTGTGTGCTTGGGATGTATTCAGCCCCAGCCCTGCAGAAACAGAAAGAGAAAGGAAGGGGAGACAGCAGCTAACTCCTTACTCCCCTCCAAGGCCGATGCACTGAGCTCTTGACTCTACTGCCTCACCCCTGCAAAATGCCAGCTGTGTAGTCCCCCACCCCAAAAGAGTCTTTGGTCAGCCATGGGGCCCCTACAGCTGGAGCTACAAAGCCGTTGGTCAACTTCATACAGCAATGGTGTCCTGGCCTTCCCCAGTGAGCCATACACCTGGTCAGCAATCCCATGTGCATTCCCTCTTCCTCCAGACATCTCTTAACAAACTGTTGGAGGCACTGGGCAAGGCCGAGCCCTTCTTCATCCGCTGCATTCGCTCCAATGCCGAGAAGGTAAGTGCAGGCCAGCATGTGCAGGACCCTGTGGGGCCCACAGAGTATGAAGGGGTCAGACCTTGGCCCCAGGCTAGGGCCTAGAAAGCCATAGGCAGGAACTGGGACTAGCACTCAGTGGGGAGAACCTCTATCCCACAAGAAACCGCAGGGTCCATCCACAGCACCGTGTAGCCATCCCAGTACTGAGGAGCTGAAGTTAAAGACCATCACTGGCTACGGAGTGAGTGTAGGCTCGCCTAGGCTACATGAGATCCTGCCTCCAAAAAAAAGGTTGGGGCAGAAGGAGCTTTAACCAGCAGGGGTGGCCGTCCACATGGTGACCCCAGAGCCTCTGAGCAGTGTGCTCCTCCTTTGCAGAAGGAGCTGTGCTTTGATGATGAGCTGGTGCTGCAGCAGCTGCGCTACACAGGCATGCTGGAGACCGTGCGCATCCGGCGCTCTGGCTACAGCGCCAAGTACACCTTCCAGGTAGGCTGCCCACGCTGCTGCCTCTGCCCTGCAGGGCAGGGCTCCTCAGCAGACCTGCCTTCCACAACCAAACCTGAAGATTCACGAGCTGACACCAGTCCTGGAAGTCACAGTTGCCTTTGACTGACCATCTTTTTTTTTTTTTTTTTTAAGATTTATTTATTTTATTTATGAGTACACTGTAGCTGTCTTCAGACACACCAGAAGAGGGCATCGGATCCCATTACAGATGGTTGTGAGCCACCATGTGGCTGCTGGGAACTGAACTCAGAACCTATTGAAGAACAGTCAGTGCTCCTAACCGCTGAGCCATCTCTCCAGCCCCAACTGAGCATCTTCTAACCTGATGTTTTGACATGTTTCAGGTTTATTTGTTCAAATTTATTTTGTATATGTATATGCACAAATATACAGGTTAGAGCACATTTGGGGTGATCAGAGGATAGCTTGCAGGAGTCGGCTCTGTCCTCTCACCATATGGGTCCTGGCTCTTGAAATCATGTCAGTCTTGGCCACCAGCACCTTACCTACTGAGCTTTCCCAACTGTCAGAATTGAGAGCAATTCTGACAATGTTATCATAATCAGTGTGCCCAGGAACAGGCAGGATCCTTTCTCTGCCTCCATTACTTAAAAGAAATATATCCGTTATACATGGCAGCTCATGTCTCAGCCCTCAAGAAAGGCAGACAGGAAGCTTGCTCCCTGTGAGTTCCAGACCAGCCTGAGATACAGAATGAGGCTATCCAGACAAAACCATGTAGTGGCTGGGGCTGTGGGTCAGTGGATGGACACACGGTGGGGAGTGTTGTCCTAGCCACACTCAGCCATGCAGTATGCCAGGGCAGTGCCACGTCCACCACTGAAACGCCGCACTCAGGCCGGGAGATGCCTTAGTCGGTAAGTACTGAAGTACAGAGTCGTGACCCCTCATAGCACCCCGGCTCACCTGCAAGTCCAGCCTCAGAAAGCCAAGTCAGGGACCCCCAGAGCAACCCTGCTATTGAGACCAGCTCGGGTTTGACTGAGTGTGACCCTGCCTCAAAGAATGAGGTAGGGAAGCCATGGAGGATGATTCCCTGCAACAGCCTTGGGCCTCCACATTGTGCACATGGATGTATGTCCACACGCAAAACCATGACACATACGCAAGTGGGGGAAAAGCGGTAATGCAATACTCTTATCTACATGGCTTGAGACCAGCTAGCGTTCTGTCCTAGTTATTTTCCTGTGGCTTGATCAACACGATAAGCTACCATAAAGGAAAGGGTTTTGAGTTGGTCTTAGAGTCAGAGGCCATTACTCTATCGTAGTAGAATGAGGTGTGTCATCAGGAAGGCAGAGAATGCACCGAGGGCTCCTGAGCTCGTCCTCAGGACACACCTCCTAAGCCTTGGACCAGTTGGGTCTGTGTTCTCATTCAGACCCTACATATCCTTCACAATGCTAGGCTTTCATGCCTGTGCCTTCACGGTTACATGCCAGGCTGCTGTGGTCACTTGTGCAAACTTCCACTGAATAATAGAATAACAGCCACAGAAAAAGAGAGCTGGGGAGATGCTCTGCAGTGATGAACACAGTTTGGGCTTGCAAGGGAGCTGAGCTGGGGTCCACACGCCTACATACGGTGCTTCATAACATCAGGTGCCTGTAACATCAGCTCCAGATCTGACGCCCTCCCCCGACCTCCATGAGCACTGAACTCATATATGGGGTGGGGTGGCACTGAGCATACCTGATGCCTGGGTTCCACCCCAGCTGTGCCCGCCTCATATGGTTCCTTAGCGCCACACACAAGAAAGGGGACTCGGTCGCCCCCCCTCATAGAGTGACTGCAGCTACCAAGATGCTTATTTACACTGTCCTTCCCTGCCACATGCCAGGACTTCACAGAGCAGTTCCAGGTGCTGCTGCCCAAGGATGTCCAGCCCTGTAGAGAGGCCATTGCTGCCCTGCTGGAGAAGCTGCAGGTGGACAGGCAGAACTACCAGATTGGGAAGACAAAGGTAAGCACCATCACACTCGTGGCTGCCATTCCCGACCCACTAGCACCCAGGTAGGAGCTCACTTCTCAGTACTTTGCACCATGCTCCAAAGGGTCCTGGGCTCTGCAGTAAAGCTCTGACACTAGACCCAAGGCACAATGGGCTCTATCACTCCCTATTTTGGGAGTTAGAGGCAGGGCATCACTTCCTCCCTGGCTCCAGTTGACATCAGAAGATGGAGACATGTGGGAAGGATCGTATGACAAGATAGGCCAGCTCTTCCAGACCCACTCAGTCTACAGGAAATGGCAGGGCCCATGAGAGCCACGTTTAACCTCTTCCTTGGGAGACACCAATGGAGACAACATCTTCTACCACTGGGCCCCACCTCTTGAAGGGTCCTCAGCTCAGTGCCACCACATTGACCCAAGCTGCTAGAGCAAGAATGTTGAGGGATGAGCCACATCCAGTCCTCAGATAGCATGAGGCCAGTTCCTTCCTTGTGTCTCTCAGAGTATGTCAGTGGCTGCCATTAAGTGCCACTCAGCTGCATAGTTACAGTTAGGTCCCTGACAGTTCTAGTCCCAGAGTGAGTCACCTGGGGACCCAGCACTTCCACTCTTGGATGTGTGTCCAAGAGAATGGAAACCACATGTTCCCCAAAACACTTGCACACACTGTCTGAAAGTGAACACAGCGGGACTGCCCATTAGACTAGGTAGGCAGAGTGTGGTCTGTCCATAAAAAGGAATAAACCTGACATACTCCCGCATGCATGAGGAGACATGTTGAGTGATAGAAGCCATCTGTGGAAGGCCATTGGCTTTGAGGTCCCTCTGATAGGAAGTGTCAGGACTAGCACATGCCTGTCAACCAGCCTGGGTTATATAGCAAGACCTAGTCTCAAACAACAAAAAGAAAGGGCTGGGGAGATGGCTCAGTATGTGCTTGTATAATTCATCATGCAAGTACAAAGACCTGAGTTTGGATTTCCCAGACACCAATTAAAAAACTGGGTGGGTGGCACATGCCTGAAATCCCAATGAGAGACCCTATCTCAAAACAGAAGGTATGGAAGCCGCCTGGTGTTAGCCTCTGACCTGTGCACACATGGCAAATGCTATCTTACATGAATTCTGCTTCCTTATATTAAACAATTCCTATTGTTGCTGGTGAGCACACCTGATAAGTCAGAAGGATGAGGGGTGCAAGGCCAGCCTTGGCTACGTAGTGAGTTTGTGGCCAGCCTGGGCTATACAAAAACCTATTTGGCAAAAGCAACATAATATCAGGTCACTGAAGGCCACAGCTGTAGCTCTTAACTACAGGAGCAGTTGATTACATGGCTCTTCCTGCACAGGCTCTGTGAGGCTCTGCAGGCACGCTACCTCTCCTCTGTTCTTGCCCACAGGTCTTCCTGAAGGAGACAGAGCGGCAGACCCTGCAGGAGAGGCTTCATGGTGAGGTCCTGCACAGGATTCTGCTGCTGCAGAGTTGGTTCCGTATGGTGCTGGAACGCAGGCACTTCATGCAGATGAAGCATGCTGCCTTGACCATCCAGGCCTGCTGGCGGTCTTACCGTGTGCGCCGTGCCCTGGAGAGGACACAGGCAGCTGTGTACCTGCAGGCTGCCTGGAGGGGCTACCTGCAGAGACAGGCCTACCACCACCAGAGGCATAGCATCATCCGTCTGCAGAGCCTCTGCCGTGGCCACCTGCAGCGCAGGAGGTGAGAGGCACAGGGCTTCCCACCCTGGAGCATTCTAGAAGCCCAGACGGTCACTCACTAAAAAGCTGCCCAAGATCACTAATACACAGCCAGTAGAGCCTAGGACTGTAGTCAGGGTGTAGGGAGGTGGGGAGAGCTTGACTATAAACAGGCATCTGTAGGCACAAGAGGGGGGAGAAGGTAGTTTCCTCCATGTGCCGCCCAGATTTAGGCCTGGTGGAGGGACGGCTCTAACCAACTCAGAGTACCTCTCCTTTCCTGTGACCCATCCTGAGCATCCAGCCTTACAAGTTGGGAGACCACCACTACCCAAGTGGATAGCGGCTGGGTCCCTGCAGGTCTTGGACAGCCCTTTGCACTCCAGAAGTTACACAGGTGTTCACGTCTGACACTGTATCATGTCTTTCTTTCTACCAGCTTCAGCCAGATGGTGTCAGAGAAGCAGAAGGCAAAGCAAGCCAGGGAGGCTGCAGGAGCAGAGATGTCAGAGGGCGAGCCAGGCCCTGTGGCCTCTGGGGAGCAGCTGTCCAAGCACCCTGTGGAGAACCTTGAGAGCCTGAGTGTGGAGGCTGAAATCTGGGTGAATAACAGGTCCCCAGATGGCACATCACCTAAGAAAGAGACACCAAGCCCGGAGATGGAGACCCCAGCCCAAAAAACAGTGCCAGCTGAAAGTCATGAGAAAGTCCCCAGTAGCCGGGAGAAGCGAGAATCACGGCGACAGCGAGGGTTGGAGCATGTTGAACGACAGAATAAACACATCCAGTCTTGCAAGGAGGAGAGTAGCACCCCTGGAGAACCTTCCAGAAGGGCAAGCCTGGAAACAGAGGAGAGCTTCCCTGAGGACACAAAGGGACCCAGAGAAGATGGACTTGAGTCATGGACTGAGACCACAGCCCCCTCTTGTCCAAAGCAGGTGCAGGTTGTGGGAAACCCACCTGGGAGTCCCAGTCCCATGCAGAGGCCCACTAGCCTGGCCCTAGACACTAGGGTTAGCCCAGTGCTCCCCAGCAGCTCCCTGGAATCCCCCAAGGATAAGGATAAGCATGAGAACAACACCAAGGCTCAGGACAAGCCCGAGAGTCCCAGTGGCTCTACCCAGATCCAACGATACCAGCACCCAGACACAGAGCGGCTGGCTACTGCTGTGGAGATATGGCGAGGCAAGAAGCTCGCCACTGCAATGCTGAGCCAATCCCTGGACCTGAGTGAGAAGCACCGGGCTCCAGGGGCAGCCCTGACTCCCACAGAGTAAGCCTATCATCATGTAGGCTGAGGGCACCAGGGTGGGCAGCACCAGCTCAGGGCCGCAGGGCCATAAACGGGTGTGACCAAGATTGCCAGATAGGGACATGCCCTGCAGAGTAGAAAGCAAAGGCCTGAAGACTCTTAGGTCCTGGCCGGAGTGAGGGTTGACAGAGAGCTTGCTGACCGTCCCCAGCCCTGCAGACATAATGTACCTGCCCAGCAGCCCGCAAGAGGCTGTGGAGGCCAGGACCCTGTGAGTCCTTCCCTCCCTGACCCCTGGATCCCTTTCCTCTCCATGACTAGGGCTCACTCACAGAATTTTACCCATGGCTTATAGGAAAGGCGCCACTGACTGCACCCATATGAGCTAATATCTAGAGACCACATCTCTAGCCCCTGAGACCTGGACTGGACTGAAGGAAGGGAGTGTGGAATCAGAGACAGGCCGCCTACACAGAACCTCTTGGCTGTGGTACTGACAGACTGAGGCTAGGAGTTGTCTGTGGGGACACCCTGTATCAAGGTGTTGAATGTTCTCACTGGCCCCTCCCATCACATGCTGGTAGCCTGACAGGCCAATGGTTTGCAGGGTAGAGGGTGGATGGATGATGGATCTGACAGGTGGGTACGTATAGAGGTAATGGATCAGAGAGAGAAAGATGATGGACTAGTGGGTTGGTAGGTGGTGGATACAAAGACAGGTTGAGCCGGGCAGTGGTGGCGCACGCCTTTAATCCCAGCACTTGGGAGGCAGAGGCAGGCGGATTTCTGAGTTCGAGGCCAGTCTGGTCTACAGAGTGAGTTCCAGGACAGCCAGAACTACACAGAGAAACCCTGTCTCCAAAAAACAAAAAAAAAAAAAAAAGAAAGGTTGATTGGAGATGGACAGGTCCTGGATGGTGAGTAGATGGGCGGATTGATGAGCAGGTGGATGGGTGGGAGGATGGATGGACAGAACAGTGCATAGCTCTCTTACCTCTCTGAGTGCTTGCTGGGCTGAGTGAGGCTGACCCTACCCAGGAAGAGTCACTGCACTGGGCCCGGAATGCTCTGCGTGGCACGTGTGAGTAACGCTGTGCTCTATGGTCTCACAGGGAGAGGCGCATCTCTTTCTCCACCAGTGATGTCTCCAAGCTGTCCCCGGTCAAGGTACAGGTAAAGCTGTAGTTCCCCATACACATACATACACAGACACAGAGACACATGTATATACATGCACACACATGCCCACACAGAGACTTACATTCACACAGATACACACACATACACATTCCCCCATAAACACACACATGTCCACACACATAGATACATGCACATGAGAATGCACACACATACTGAGCAGTCTTGACAGAGTCCAGCTATCATCTTGACACTTGAGAGGCAGAGCAGGAGGGTCACACATACAGGCCCACATGGCATGCTTCATAGCAGCCTGACAGCCTTTCTCTAAAGGTAAAATGAGGTTGGTGGGACGCTTGAGTGATTAAGAACACTTGCCGCTCCTACAGATGACACAAGGTGGCTCACAATCTCCAGGGGATCTCCCTGTGACTTCCGTGAGCACCTGCACACACATGTAATTTAAAAATAAAATCTTTGCCAGGCAGTAGTGGCACAGACCTTTAGTCCCAGCACTCAGGATGCAGAGGCAGATGGATTTCTGAGTCTGAGGCCCGCCTGGTCTACAGAGTGAGTTCCAGAACAGCCAGAGCTACACGGAGAAACCCTGTCTCAGAAAATCAAGATATAAAATAGAATTATTAAAGATAGAAAACTCATAGTGGAGTTGATGGGTGAAGACGGGGAGATTTGATCCATGTCTGGGCCCCAGCTGTGACTCACCCTGCCCTCCCTATACCTCTCCCTTGGCAGACTTCAGCTGAAATTGATGGGGATTTGAGCAGCAAGAAGCCAGCCATCCATAAGAAGAAGTCAGGAGATCCATCTGCTGGTCCCGATGCAGGCCTGTCTCCAGGCTCCCAGGGTGACTCTAAGTAAGTGAACAGCCCCCCACCACCACCACTAGAGACACCCAGGGCCCCACCTCAGCTCCGCTGAGCTGCTTGCAGCAATGAGGCACACTGGGCTCAGTAGTTGTTTGAGGCACAGTTCCGAACAGCCTTGCTGAACACCTGCCCACTAACCCTTCTCACGTAGCCCAGCTCAGGACCACCTCGAGCACCCAGCTGGCCACATGGTTGTGAAGCCTCAGGAAGCCACAGCCAGGCCAGGTCTTCTGCTCTGATTTCACAGATAGACAGAGGCCATCCATCTAGTATTCCCTGTGAGCAAACACCATGACCACGGCAATGCTGATAAAAGAAAGTGTTTGAGGGCTTGCTTATGGTTTCTAAGGGTTAGTTCAAGATCATCATGGTAGCAGAGAGACGATCCGGCCTGATTTTTGTTTTTGTTTGTTTTGTTTTTCCAGATAGGGTTTCTCTGTAACTGGCCTGGGCCTACTACCTGACACACTTCCTCCAACAAGGTCATACCTCCTAATCCTTCCCAAACAGTTCCTGCCCCGGTGACTTACATAACCTGTGGGGCCGTTATCATTCAAACCTGCACACTCTCCATCTTAGTATTAGGTTCTCTCACTGAACCTGGAGGCCACTGATTCAACTAAGCTGATGGGCCAGCAAATCAACCCATCTACCCCAGCCCACAGCAGGGTTACATGTGTGTGCCCCCGAGCCCAGCTTTTACATGAGTGCTGTTGACCCAAACTCCAGTCCATTCTTACATAGCAAGCATTTAAGCCACCTTTCCAGTCACCTTTGTCTATCTGTCTGTCTGTCTGTCTTTCTACTTATCTTTATTTAGTTATTTATTTATTTGAAACAGGATTTATTTATCTTTATTCATTTATTTAAGACAGGGTTTATGTAGCCTTGGCTGTCCTGGAACTTAGTATGTAGACCAGGCTGGCCTTGAGCTCAAGAGATCTGCCTGCCTTTGCCTCCTGAGTGCTGGGATTAAAGGCATATACACCACCACCACTGTCCAGCCCTCCATTTTTTTTTTTTTTCAGTAAAGTCAAAACCATTTCTTTGCTATGGCTAGGCTTGGTTAGACACACCTGTGATCCCGGCACTGAGGCGGCTAAGGCGTTCTGGGCTAAATAAACTATCTCAAAAACCAAAATACAAAAACTTAAAGCACCTCCTGCCCTCCCCCCACCTCTGGGAACCCATCCTGGGTCCTCAGATCTTGGCTCAGGCTGCCTTGCTCGATTGCTCCTCCTGGAGACACCAGGCATCCTTGTTTGTAGACAAGTAACTGATCGTGCCTCCATCTTCATGGTTCTGACTCAAACCCAATGGCTTCTTTGAGGTTGCTTTAGGTTGCTTACAGTTCTCATGAAGGAGCCCTGGGCTGCATGCATGCTAGACAGGTCCTCCACCCCTGAGCCACACCCCCAAACCCTCTGTTGTCTTGGAAGGACACTTCTCATTGGAGTTGTGTGACTTGGTTACTTTTTATCTCATCCTCTATTCAGATGGTTACAAATGCAAAGGTCTTTTCTACACAAGCTCTCAGTCAGAGTCTGAGCTAAGACCCCAAGATGGCAGCCATTTGCCCCTATAGTACCTATAGTACCTATAGTACCTATAGTGCCTACAGTACCTACAGTACCCAGCAGCCACTGTTGATAATCTGTCATCGTTTTTCTGACTGTCTTCTGATTTAGTGCCCACAAGAGGCTTCAGGGAGCAGGAACTCATTTCACTTTTTAAAATATTTTACACTGATTTCATCGTGCGTGCGTGCATGTATCCGTGCGTGCATGCATCCCATCCATGTAGCATGTGTGTGGAGGTCACAGGACAATTACTGGAGTCAGATTATCAGACTTGGTGGCAAGTGCCAGTGCCCTCATATTCTTTGTATGACCATAGGGCAGGCTGAGTCTTGCTCTAGGTCTTGCTCAGTTCAGACAGACGGACACCATCTCTGTTATATGATCCAGTACCCCACAGTGTCTTTGGGAGGGGACCCTCTAAAGTTTTCAGTTTGTTTTGGTTTTTCTCTTTCTGAATTTTTTTGTTTGTTTTTGTTTTTTTCAAGACAGGGTGTCTCTGTGTAGCCCTCACTGTCCTAGAACTCACTCTGTAGACTAGGCTGGCCTTGAACTCAGAGATCCACCTGCCTCTGCCTCCTGAGTACTGGGATCGAAGATGTGTGACATCACCACCTGGCTTTTTGTGTTTTTAAGAAGTTCAATCACTGGTACACAGTAACAGAAGAACCTACCAGGGTTTTTTGGGATGTTTTGAAATCAAGTCTTACTATAATCCAAGCATTTCTCAAATGCGTGGCAAACCTCCTGCCTCAGCCTCCCATGGGCTGGATTGTGGGTATGAGCCATCACATCACAGTGTGCCCAACCCTCCCTTTCCCTACTCCTGTAACACAAGGTGTCATGCAGCCCAGGCTGGCTTTGAGCCTGGGAGCCAAGTTAGTTCCTGGTCCTTCTGCCTGGTTCCGTGGTGCCCGTGGCTTGCCTCCATTGTTTTCTAAAATCAGCACTGAGAATGTGGCTTCCTAAGCAGAGGCTCTGTCTCCTGCTCACCTCGGCTTACACCTCATGCAGAGCCGAGGTCTGTGCTCCATTCACACACACCGCCCAGCTACCAAGGACGCCAAGGCCAGCCTGCCTCCAAAACAGCTACAGCTGGGTATAGAGATGCCTGCCTTTAATCCTAGCAATTTGGGGATCTCTGCATGCCAGGCCAGTCTGATCTACGTAGTGAAACCCTGTCTCAAAAAAGGAAAGGAAGGAAGGAAGGAAGGAAGGAAGGAAGGAAGGAGGGAGGGAGGGAGGGAGGGAGGGAGGGAGGGAGAGAGAGAGAGAGAGAGAGAGAGAGAGAGAGAGAGAGAGAGAGAGA